CCCCAAACAATTATTTTATGGTCTATTTTCAGTATTTTGTAACTCAAACTTGTAAAATAAAAATTCTTTGTGGATACAAAATAAATCAACTTCTACGGAGTGTGCACATATTTTTCCACTCTTTAGGGAGAGTGCAGAGCTATGGGACTGACCTGTTAAAACCCCTATTTGAAGTTTTAATGTTTTAACACGGACAAGACTCTTCTTTGCCAGAGTGAGTTTCAGTAATTCTGGCAGTTAATCATGATGCAGGTGTTAAGTTTAGATCATTTAATAAAACCGATTCGCCAATCTTCAGGTTGGGATTTTGGACGAACCATTTTTGTCGTTGTTGTAGTTGGTGTAAGTATTCTTACTATAAACAAACCCATAAGTGCTATAAGGTTGTCGAATCGGTTGCCAACGTGACAGTCGATTTATGGGTGTGGAAATCTTGTTTGAGAAGAGCAACAACTAATGGTTGTCCAATATAAAACTTTCCAGGAGTCAGCGGTTCGAGCTCACTAGGGTCGGATGATAGGCTGCAGAAGGGTCGTTAGATGTTGATAGTCTCAATCTAAAGAAAAAAGTGGACAATTCGTCAACGTTTGACTGCCTAGAATTTGTTTGATTTGATGTTTTCTTTATTTAGTTCCAGATTCATATACCACTAAAGTGAAGTGAGGAGGGGCGGATGAAATAGTGTGTGATTTCTTGATTAAATAATCAGCAAGAATTGGATCTAACTGACGAGAGAAGAAGTGATGGAGCTCAACTCTCTATTCAATCTGACAACATTTATGCTTAGTCGGCGAAAATGCCACTACATAAACCTCATCAAGAAATGAATCACTTGAAAGCAGTAAGAAATACTTGAGCTTAGTGTATATCACTTTTTCTAAGCGTATGGTTTTGGTAATACACTTGATAACACCTTGAGGGTTGGTTGTTGATACGGACAAACAGACAAATGTAGCTTTAAGGAGTTTTGGCTTCATCGACTTATCACACTTGGTGGGATGAGGACCACAAAATCAACACTGACCTTAATTAAAGGTAGAGTGGAAAAATAATCTTCCTTTAGGTAAGTGATCCTTTTACAGGTGTAGATTGTTCCCATTTTTTCTTGTGCAAGCAATGCCTTTTCACAGCCCATTTCAAATGACACTTCGGTCAGATACTAGGTTCTATGGCCGACATATAAATAATTCAGATAATAATGATCAATAAGCAGATAAGTTATTTGTGACCCTTTGGGCAAAAACATTGGATAATTTGGTTTATAAGAAATCTGTTCTTTCTCTGGACGCCCACCTACGTATCTACGTGTTGTACAAGCTAAATTGATAACAGAGTTAAGGCGATGTTACGCAGTTGTACATTGTAAAAGTCTTTTGTTTTAAACTACAATTATTCAAGTCTTCTTGAAGGCTTTGTTGTTGAGTACGCATCAAGTACACAACAAATAATTCAGTTTAGCTGAGTAGTATAGGTATAGTTTTAAGTGAAGGTTCTACATTGCACCAATAAAAAATGAATCTCAAAATCTAACCAACACAATTCATAAGTTTATTAAGATTAAAAAGTCTTCCTAAATTAAGTACAGTGCCATTGGTGAGGAAAGGCGTCTGAACGACTCTCTTTGAGGTGGGACGAGATTCATATTTTGAAACTTTTCAGATGTACTAGTTTTTGCTACTTAAGAATGTGTGACCAATATTGTAGGTCTTCAATAAGGACCATTCCATCAAGTAAGCAGTCAAACAGTGCAGTCAAGCAGTGATGAGGGGCATCAAGAGGTTATATCAGCCAGATTGCTTAAAGTCTGAGTGTGGAGCAAGCGGGACGGGTCGTTGAGGTGTTGAAATTCAGCGATGCGGTTGGCAACAAAGGTTCTCAGAGATGTAAAGAGGTATTGATAAAGTTTTAGATTACCATTGAATCTGTTTGAAATTAGATGGGAATATTTCATACTTTTGCATTAAATAATATTTTTGCAAAATGACATTGTTTTACTTGGAAGAAGTACACCACAATTTTCAAATTTAAAATTCGAATTTTCTTGAAAGGGGCAAATTGACTTAGCCATTAGCATGTTGGTCTTAACAAAGCCATCAGATGCCAGAACTTTGATATAAACGAAAAATACATTAATTTTTGCACCTGTAGAATTCGGAGAAAATACGTTTCTTTAATTTTTTTTTAAATTTACTAAGAAGAAGTGAATCTTGAAATAAGTTGTTTAATTAAATGAGTTAATCACCGGGAAGATAATAATTCCATTTCAAGAAACTATATCTGTTGCATTATATATATACTTGGCCCAGAGTACGATAGGAACAACTAATCCCGATGAAAAAAAAACATAAATCATAGAAAAAAATTTTCGTTTGGTTGGTGAATGTTTCTGAATAGGAACATAAGCCAGTGTTTCGGTTCCACTTTTAATCAAGTGACTTAATGATCAGATAGTGATCCTTATATCCAGACAACCAAATATGTTGATACCTTTTTACAATGCCCTCTAGACGTAACGGAAACTACTGGCCCATTAACTATGTTCAAAATCAAGAGCACAATAAAGTCAAGGTTAAGTATGAAGAGCGTATCTAGGGATTCAGTATCAGTAAGAAAATCATGTATACACATGAATTTGAAGTTTACCTCTTCATCGGCTAGAAGTTAATTTAGGTTTCTAATGGCAAAAACAATAATTTATAAATAAAAAACTTTTTAAAACAAAACGTTTTTAAACGCACTAAAAAGTAGAAAATAATTTATAAATATGTGGAGAGCATAAATACTTTTAGGATTTTAAACGAAAAACGTTGGGTGCATGCAATTGATAATATTACAATAGTTCAATATATGAAGGTAATTAATTGTAAATTATCTATTACATGCACCCAACGTTTTTCGTTTTAAATCCTACAAGTATTTATACTCTCCACATATTAATAAATGATTTTCAACTTTTTACTGCGTTTAAAAACGTTTTGTTAAAAAAAGTTTTTTATTTATAAATTATTTTCTACTTTTTAGTTATTAATGTGTGTGGATGTTAAATCTATTTAAAGCATCTATATCAGATTAAGACAGAGGCATGTGGGAAATCTAAGCTTTATTTGAGTTTCTTTTCATATAATTATGTATTGGATTGAATGTATGGCCTACCTACTATAAACATAAACTAACCTGTACCTTTTAACCTTCTGCTCTTCGAACTGTCAAATTTCAGTATTTACAGCTGACTTATGGGGCGTAACCCAAGGGAAGTATGGTAATAAATGATATAATATTGCATTGTCATCCAATTTGTAAGCTATGTTTAAAATTTCAAGTCGCTAGCTCATCGGGAACTTCGTTTAAAATTGATATCAACATTTGTAGGAAAGCGAGCTAATAAAAACAAAAAACAGTCCCATGGGGCGTAACCCAAGGTAAATATGGAAATTAAATTACATAATATTGCATTGTCGTCCATTTGTGAGCTATGTTTCAAGTTTCAAGTCTCTAGCTCATCGGGAAGTATAAAAATTTGCAAGAAAGCGAGTTGATAAAAACAAGCCCATGGGGCGTAGCCCAAGGGAAATATGAAAATTAAATGATATAATATTGCATTGTCTTCTATTTGTGAGCTGTGTTTCAAGTTTCAAGTCTCTAGCTCATCGGAAAGTTTGTATAAAATTGATTGCAAAGTTTGTACCGGACAAGAAAGCAAACTAATAAAATCGTATTAAAATAGCGATTAACTACCAAATAGGTGACAGCATTCAGTGCTTATGAATCATGTGGTGAGTTGGGGGTTTGTCCCCAAAGGATCATTTGGATATCAATCTTCAGGATGGATCACAATATGTGACAACAAATGTTGCATATGTCTGATAAGCGTAAGAAAATCAAGAATCTCAAATATTTGAGAAAAATATTTGGACCTGTTAGAGTTGGAGAAGAATGGAGAATTAGGCACAACCAAGAAATAAGGGACATGTACCATTTCCCAGACATTGTAGGAGAAGCAAAGAGCAGAAGACTCAGGTGGGCTGGCCAAAAGATGGCATACTAATTAAAGAAGTTGGAGACAAAAATCAGCAGGAAAAAGGCCCAGAGGAGGCAGAGGAGGACCTAAGAATCGATGGAAGAACCGGGTGGAGAAAGATTTGCAAAAATTGAGAGCAAGGAAATAAGACTCAGAGAACAAGGAGAGATGGAGGCAACTTGTTGGCGAGGCCAAATACCACCTCGGGTATCCATGGTCATGGGAGTAAGAGTAAGTATGTCTGATAAGATCCCAACTGAGTGAGGACGAGTTTTCGGACACATCATTTTGTAGGTTCTTACAAAATAATAACTTGTAATTTGATCAAATTTTTCGCGTGAATATAATACTCATATACTTCATATAACTAACATAATACAGCTTTTAAGAGAGAAAAAAATACTTATAAAGAACATTGTATACACTAGGGGACTAGGTAATGGCAAGACTGAAATTTATTTGGTTGAACATTTTAAATATTCCTCCAGCTCATAAAAGAATTTACAGTAAACCAATAAAGATTTGTTATGCTTCTTTGAAAAACAGGAGCACTTGGGGAGTTTATTTAGAAATTTGAGTCCCAGAACTTCTGAGTATTCCAGGATTTGTTTAAACATTCCATATATATATATATTCCATATATATATATATTCCATATATATATATATATGTATTATATATATATTATTTATATTCATTATATATATTTAGCGTCTTGTGACTTAACATTATAAGTGTAAATATATGTTTTGGGTGTTATAGACGTACTTTGATTTAGTTACTTTCCGTTACAAGCTGATCTTATGATTATGAAAAGCTGATCCTAAGCGTATTTGGTTATTTTGCAGTTTGCAAATTTTGGTTAACATACTAGTAAAACTGAAATTCTAGGACAGCTGCTCTCAATTAACTGCTGACGATAGTTGTGCAGCTGTTGGTTGACGTTTGTGAGGCACATCGCGGCAATTTACAAGCAAAAACCGTCAGTCGATGAGAGAGGTCGGGAAGAACTACATCGACACTGGCTTCAAGAATGCACTTCTTACATATTTTGCTGGCAACAGTGAGTCCTTCATGCCTAGCTAACCCATTCTATTAGTTTATTAAGTCATTTCATTTTAGGCGTAGTAAGTTAATTTATCTGCACGGTATTGGATTTTTTACAACTGTAGTTAGGCAGTTAGTCTGGGAAATGGAGAGGACTACGTTAATTTTTTAGCATGGAAATCTTAGCTTTGGAAGTAATGCATACTCATAATTAAGCATGTAAAATTAAAAATAAAAAAATAATGAAACTACTTTTTATAATATTGGATTAGATTTGTTAAGGTCCATTGTGTTTAGTAAATTTTCTTGATGTTGTTTATAGCTTTTGTATACAGTATATAAAAATCTTCTTTAACATGCTATTGGAATATTTTTCAAACTCGTCAAATTCGAGTATTCATTAATTTACGTTTATGTTTTTGTATTCATGATCTGTTTGTATAAAATATTCTGTGAAGTTAAATTTCATCTTTATTTGGTTCCCTGATCTTAAAGCTTGAATGTGTTCTTAAAATCGTTTTTCAAAACTTCAGCTAGTTTTCCCAATGTAGAACTTTATGACATTCAGAACATTTGATTTAACAAATAACTGATTTACTTATATCTTGATTTTGGTTAGTTATATTCCCTTTTGCAATATTTTTTTATTTTTTATTTATGATTCGGAATTCATAATTTTTCCCATAATTGATTATCATATCTTTACGGTTGGGAGTTTTTCATGAGGCTTTGTTAGTTTAGGTATTGTGTGGTATGCATATAAATTATTTTCTTTGGTTCTCTGTTTCTGAAGGGATTCTTTATGTCCCAAGTTTTATTAAATTTTCTTTTTTATTATTTTATTAATTATATATGGATTGTATCCACTTTCCATATTCTCAAATAAACAATCGTATTATTATCTTTATTACAGTTTTCAGTAGACATAGGAATATTTACAAGTCTATGTTTTTATGAAAGAAATGTTGCTAATTATTTTGCCATGGATGATTAGAATTAGAAGGTATGATACTATCTGTTGTAGTAATTTTTCGGTAAATTTCAAATATATGCTTGTGTTTTTCTTTTTGAAATCTAAAAAGTTAATGTGTGAATGTTGTATTTAATTTGTGTAGTGATCGAATTTATGTGTTGGTGTAAATTGCTTAATTCTGTTTGTGTGCATTATTGTCGTTGTTCAATAAAATGTATTTTAAAAGGGTAATTAGTTTTTAATTATGTATTTACATATAATAATAGTTGCCCTAATCACTATAATTTCTATATTCATGTATACAGGTTGTTTTCATATAGTATGTACATATTCTGTCGACTTGTTCCTTGGCTGAGACTAACATAAAATGGTATAAGTATGGGTCTAAAACGCTTAGATTTCTTCAAAACTGATAAGTGTGTTGTTTGTCATCCGATTTAACCAGAAAATGTCTCATTTAATTTGGATTTAAGTTTTCTATGTTTTAATAATTATGTAAGTATCCTAATATTTACTGTTTTCATAACATTTGGATTTGAATATTTTAAGTGGCCGCTATGTTGAAGAGGTTTACGTTATTAGACAAAAATACCTTAAGTTCTTTTTTCCCTTCTAAACGACACATTTATACCAATTTTGAAATTTATATCTTGAAAAAATGTCTAAGATAAAATAAATTTAAAAATCACTAACACAGACAGAAATATAAGGAATTTAGACTACAATCTAGATTGATTGTATGAACAATAAATTATAGAACTACAGTATATTTTGTTGTATTATTTATTGAGTGATAACGTCAAATAATTTCTATTCAAATGTTTGCAGGTATATATATTTTTTTGTTACAGGTTGCCAGTATTTATTATGTGCATGCTACAGACATTGTGAGTAATATTCTAATATATTAGATATAGATCCTTATGATACATCTAATTGTATAATGGCCAATGACTAGACGATGTTATTTGTATGATAAGGTCAATGCATATATTTCTTAGTTTTTAAGTAGTGTACGTTAGGTATGATAGTTATGTTTGTGTATGTTATGGTTAGTTAAGGTGGAAATAAATTTTTCCAGAGATCGTCATAATAATAACTAATTTAGAGAGAAATTGTTTACGAAGTTAGTGTTGTTGTTTCAAAATATAATGTTTCATGTAAATATTAAATGTTAGAGCAGCTGGATGACCTATATCACATAAAATTTAAAAATGTTTGCCCTTTAATGACGGAATATGCATGTGTTGCATATAAGTATCGAAAACAATATTTATACGAGTTTAGCCAGATACTACCCGTGCTGATGGTTGTAATTGGCAAATAGTATTTGTGTTGAAATTCGAAGTACTGTTACAACCAATCTTAAAGTAAGTTTCCACACCCCAAAAAAATAACTGGAAACATATAAAACAAGATCTCCTTGTACAAAACTGGGATCTAATCTACAGGGTGTTTTTTTAAAAACTTGCATCTTTATTTATGTAAAAACCGCAATAGATAGAAATATGCAGTTTGCGGGAATCATCTATTGACGTAGGGGGACCAATTGTTTTGAATTCAACGTTACGTTCACATTCCCCCCCTTTCCCCCCCAGCCACCAACTTATTTTTTTTAAATAGCAAGGTACCCCTTGTGACATATCAAATAAAAGAGCATAAAAAAAGAAAATGTTTGATGAAAAAAAATTGAAAATCGGTTCATAAATTTGTGAGATATTCCCCCCCTCACCCCCCCGGAACTTAATTTTTTTTAATAGCAAAGTACCCCTTGTGACATATCAAATGAAAGAGCATGAAAAAAGAAAATTTTTGGTGAAAAAAAATTTAAAATCGGCTCATGAATTTGTGAGATAATCACCCCCCTTTTCCCCTACCCATAACTTGTTTTTTAATAGCAAGGTACCCGCCCTTGTGACATATCAAATGAAAAATAAATTACGCCAAAATTTTTCTTTTTTCATGCTCTTTCATTTGATATGTCACAAGGGGTACTTTGCTATTAAAAAAAAATTAAGTTCCGGGGGGGTGAGGGGGGAAATATCTCACAAATTTATTAACCGATTTTCAATTTTTTTTTCATCAAAAATTTTCTTTTTTCATGCTCTTTTATTTGATATGTCACAAGGGGTACCTTGCTATTTAAAAAAATTAAGTTGGGGGCGGGGGGGAAAGGGGGGGGAATGTGAATGTAACGTTGAATTCAAAACAATTGGCCCCCCTACGTCAATAGATGATTCCCGCAAACTGCATATTTCTATCTATTGCGGTTTTTACATAAATAAAGATGCAAGTTTTTAAAAAAACACCCTGTATACATCAGTAGATGTCAGTACCGTCGCAAAAACCTTAAATGACATTCTTATTTCCACAGTTGAACGAAATTCATCTACCGCAACCACTAAAAAGTTTAAGACAACACCAAGGACTGGTCTCTTAAAATCTGCCATTGAGACAAATTGAGTAGACTAACCAATAAGTATCCCTTCAATGCTAGATTGGGCTATGTTAGATAAAAATGTCTACCCTAAAAAGGCACAATATGATTAAAAAAAATATATATACATATGAGGCTCAAGGATATCCTAAGAAATTCTGGAACATAGTTAAAGATTCCAAATGTATTTTTTTTCAGTTGATACACTCTGTACACACAGGGACAGCACCGTTTAGGACACTGTCCCCTCCATTTGCGATTCATATAAAAGTATTTTGCTTCCTTTGGATCCTAGTAAGCAGGGGCTCTGCAGCCTTTCTTTTTGCTGACGACACGGCCGTGGTGTCCTCGGGCAACACCTTGGGCGATGTTTATCCTCAAACATCATCCTCGTCTGACTCACTTAAAACAAAGAATTGGTTTGATCACAATACAATAAAATTAAATGTATCAAAAACCAAGTGTATGCCAAACTCAAACTCGTGACGCAAGACGTATCTTCATTCATGTGGTAATCCGTGGTCTAATACCTGCGGATGTGACATCAGCGATCGTGGGGACCAATACAAGTACCTCGGGTTAATCATTAGCCAAAGACTGACAGGGTTTCCTCATACCATTTTTGTGAAGGAAAGATTGGAAACTAGTCTACGCCTTTGCAAATGAAGCCGTGTGTTGACCATGGATCACTGCAGATATGTTTACAATGCACACGCAGTCTGTGTTGCAGTATGGCGTACCGGCGTGGGGTTGCATCTGCTGCCACGTTGGCTTCTCTTAATGTCACGGAGAAAACCTTAATCACAATCACAATCTCAAAACACCTAAACCAACTAATCTAGGTATTTCCAAATTCCCAGTCAAATAATTGTTCATCGAAGCATTATTACTTGTTTATTAAGAATAACTAAGAAATTATGTTTTATAACTTACAGTTATCACACAAGACACAGGCGAAACTTTGGATACCGTACTTCTCAACTAGCCTATAGTTAGTTAAAAAATAATGTATTTTACATCGCCGATATTCTTTATTGTAACATACCTCACAACATAAATGCTGCTAAATCAATGTTGCTGTGTACAAACGCCAAATCTGTGCGTGGCTGATGACTATAGGACGACAGGCTTAAAGCCTATAATTAGCTTGTCTTACATATAAATTTCACTTTCACCTATAACCTATCACAATAACTCAATTTTACTTATAAAATAATAATTGATTTAGTTATATACAGAATAATATACATATATACATATATATTTTGTTCTTACGGTTCTTTTTTGATAATATTCTAGTATGTATACCAGCTCCTGATTTGTAATATTATGTATTTCTTGTATATAATGTCATGTTGAATAAAATGTTTTGAATCTAAGTTTGATGTGATTTTAGTTCTAGGTTGTGATAGGAGTCTTTTTTTTACTGTTAGGGAAAATCTTTAAAATAAAAGTAACTTTTTATAACAACGGGTTGTGTGGGCTTCTAAGATATAAAGTTCTTTACTTTGAGACAAATGTACTAGCAAATGGTTACTAGTAAAACCATGATAAAGTTTTTAAAAATATACTTAACCCAATTTTACTGGTCCAATACAGTATTATGCAATTAAAATTATAAAAGTTCCTATACATGTAGTTATTATTGAATCAAAAAGTGCTTATCCATGCTTTATATATAAATGCGTTCATTGTAATTTATCTAAATATTGTTTCAGAATAACAACTACAGAACGCGACAAATACAGTCTTTTGAACGTAGGATTATGAACGGAGGGCTCCACTGGGATGCTGTACAAAAGCGTCTTTACTGGGTACAGTCGGGCTTTGGTGATGAAGAGATGGCCATCGTCTGCTACGACCCAGTCGGCAAAGTCATCAAGACAGCTACAATAGGCGGGGATCAAGAATCAAGTAAATATAGAAAAGAATCGAAAAGTTCGTTGAATAATCTGTTGGTGAAAAAATGATATGTTGGAGTAGTCTGACTAATCTAACTGGACAGTGAGCTATGCCTATGGCGAGCTATGGCGGTGTTTAATTTGGGGTTAAAAGAAAACTAAAATGCATGCACATGATGTTTGTTTTGTAATAAAAATGTATTAATTACCGCAATAATAATAACAGAGAACCCGTGCGGCTCAATGAGCCACATAGTATGAAACATAACGCCAAAGAAAACGTCATGCTTACATTCGAGTAATTCTAGTTACATCTTAGAGTTGTTTAAACACTTGTTAGAAATCTAATGAATGCTAAACAATCCGCTTCAATTCGAGCTAAAATGTTGCAACAAAGGTGTTTTTTGCATTGAGAATTGAAGAAAACTGTTGCCTTACTGATAACCTGTGTTAAGTTATTTAAGTTGGATCATTTTATTTTTTTGATTTGAGACATCCCCCTAATCAAACGAATTTACTTACTCGTAGCTTTGAATACATAAACCCCAATTCTTCACTTATGTTTGGTATAATATGGCCACTAAAACGTTTAATAGCAAATTTTTTTTAGACATTTCTTATTTTTGACTTGAAATGTCTGGGTTGTGTTGGTGAATTCAGTCAAAAAACTTTTTATAAGTTTGTCCGAAGAACTAGCAACATAACATAGAAGTAAACAATCTATTTGTGTTTTTCTCAATTAAAGTAGAGCAAGTAATACAAAGGTTTACAATAAAAGCATAAGGTCCGCCAAGATTTGGTATAATCTTACTACTTGAACTTATCATAGTGAAGGCATTATTATAGTTTCTCGATCTGTCAGTGTCAGAAGTAAACATTTCTTGCATGCATTCATTTGATCTGACATTAATCAAGTTTACTTTACCACCGTGACAACACTATGTGAGTGATCTTGCCCGTCAACTGGTGGTCCCCAAGTTGCATAGCTTAACTAACAAATATTATTCATCTCACCAAATGAATGTATATCTGGGTGGGTATCTGTTAGACCAGGACTCTCCTTATACTCATAAGATATCTTATTATTAATTGTATCCTCCCTTTTTTTATATTCTTCTTTGAACTTGAGGCATTTTCCGCTCTTCTTGCAAAACTGATTAACTGGTTAACTTGGTCTTAACCTACTGAATATTACAAACATTAATATTTACTCCCAAAAAGCTAATGAGTTTCTTTTTATAAACAGCTGTTTTTGTTTTTAATTTGTTCTATGTATTTCTTATGGGGGAAACCCGACTTTGAGAGGGTCTCACGCCCTTAAGAGTAGGAGTTTTAATATTCTAAAACCTTATTGCAAAACTACATATTAAGACGAATCTTTTGACACCTTAAACGTTGAAATTTGTCTACAAATAAGGCAGGAGTTGCGTTAACAAAAAACGGCTTCACGTATTATTATAAATAGATGCTTTAACGTAAACATATACAATGGTACAAAGGGTTATGACATTCATTTGATTTAAGTTGAAAGCGCTTGTACATTATTGTTTCGCAGTATTAAATGTAATCTGAAATTCATTGAAAACCATTGCAAATTCGCTAAACCAACACAGAAAACTAATAATAGAAAATAAACAAACGATTTAAAAAAAATACACCAGTAACAAAATCTAAAGGTTTTTTTTAGCATGGCCCCTCAGCCCATCTGATTATCACTAACAAGTGAAATTGTTAGACGTATTTCCTAGTTTTATATTAATAAATTAAAGTTTAAAATAACTACTTAGCTTTATTGACAGGAAAGGTTTTTAATAATAGCCCAATATCAAATTTAAAATATTACTAAGTTTTTTATTGAAATATTTCTAAATAAGGAAAATAACGATGTTTGATTTATTATTTGATGGAATAAATCTCTAAGAAATTTTAAATTTCACACTTTTTTATTTTGTCTGTGACCATTTTACATACAACGACACAACAACCTACCAACTTCTCTCCAGAAGTCGATATTTGCAGTATAACATTTGCAAATGGTTATACATGGACTGTGAAGTAGAAGTATATTTGGGGACAAACTGCAACATTTTATGTTTTCAGACTCAACAATAAACAAATGGTTTGCAAAATGTTTTAATAAAAAATAAATTAAAACGTTTTCAGTGCAATCAGCAGGTTTCTTAAACACTGTTGATAAAATATGGGGTGAAAGTCTGCACACACAATCGTTTGCCAATGATTTATAAAAATACAACTTTACAGAAGAAAAGCTGAAACCTTTGTCCATGGTGATTCGAGTGGAAGGGACGGTGGACAAGCTGCTTATAGGAGTGAAAGATAAACTAGCTGAGATACAGTGGGATTGTATAAATGACATGGTTATCACAAATGAAAATATAGTTTTCTTGGACGCTCGTGCAAGAGATGAAGCCGAGCGTTTTAATGATGGAAGAGCGGACTATGAAGGACGTCTTTGGGCTGGTAAGTAAGCAATTCGTTAAACCAAATAAAGATCATACTTTTAAATATTCAAAATTGATAATTTGTTAAATACGATATATTTATATTTGCCAAATTAAATCAACTACAACTAATTGTATTGCATAAATGAATAAATGGATCATATCGGTCCTCATACACTGAAATACAAATTTTCAATGTATATACAATATCAATTGTATGGCCTTGAAATGGCCGTTATGCCACATTGTACTAAGTTTTTTTTAGCTCTATATGTATTTTCCTTTTTTATATTCTACTGTTAGACAAATAGGAATTTGCTTAGTCTGCAGGTTTGCTGCAGTGTGCGTATTTTGTATTGTGGTATAATTTCAGAAGTTCCCTTAAAACTGCTTTCTTACTTCTGCTCTGTGTTGTCAGTATGAAGGCCTACTACAGACAGCTGTTTATACAGGGTGTTTGGTAGTCGGTGTCATAGATTTTAAGGCATTATTTTGCAAGCAAATTGCGATAAAAAAGTCATTTGGCTTATTATATCGCTCTCCTACTTCCGGCAAAATCCATGATTTAGATTGTTCAAAGTTTCCTGACATAGCTAAATGGTTTATGTTACCTGGCTTCGTCAAGTGATCCTGCTGTAGTAGTGTACTACTATAGTTTCGGACTTAAAAGTCCATCTTCAGGTAAAAAACAAAAACATCAAGTCATCTAACCAATTTGGTTAGATTCGTAGTTAACGCTGAGAACATATATATATCGAACACGAAAAAAAACATAGAAAACCGTGACGTCATTACGTCATGACTCATATTACGGCGTCACCACACGTGTCTCCCGTGATTAATTACACTGGCCAGTTTACAGTATTATATTCGTTTTCTGTGTGTTTTTTTCGTGTTCGTTATATATGTTATATACAGGGTGTTTGGTACTCAGTGTGAAAAAAAATTTTTGGTGTAAGTACAAAGTAAATGCAGTATGATGATGCATATAAAATGTCCAAAGTCTAAAAATTAGCTTCCCAAAGAATTATTTTATGTTTTTCAAAAATAACTATGTTTTTAAACTTAATACAGCTATTTCTCAATTACCTGTAAATGGATTTGAGTAGACAATGTCATTTTCGTGTTCTACATTAAATTTTAAATAAGAATAATACAAAATGACAGAAGATCAGTTGTAAAAACTCCATCGTAAATAGATTCAAAGATAAAAATTAAGATGTCTGATAAAAATTCAAAAAACATTGGTCAGTTGCATTTGTTCACACCCTGTATACAAGAAAGTGTCGGAATATGTTAAAAACTGCGCCATTTTATAAGCTTTCCAACCATATGCTACACTATTGAGGTTTAGATATTTTTTTGTTTATTTTAGTGGTTTGAATGCCAGAACAGAGAACTTATTTACTGTTTTTACTGTTCAAGCTGAAACAAAAATACAACTTTTGCTTAATACATGCTGACTTTCTATGTTTTAAATGATAAAGACGCCATGCTTTGTAGTCTTCAAACCGCGAAAGCGTACATAAGCAGACAGAAAGCTCAATGGTGTAGCATATGGTTGGAAAGCTTATAAAATGGCGCAGTTTTTAACATATTCCGACACTTTCTTGTATACAGGGTGTGAACAAATGCAATTGACCAATGTTTTTTTGAATTTTTACCAAACATCTTAATTTTTATCTTTGAATCTATTTACGATGGAGTTTTTACAACTGATCCTCTGTCATTTTGTATTATTCTTATTCAAAATTTAATGTAGAACACGGAAATGACATTGTCTACTCAAATCCATTTACAGATAATTGAGAAATAGCTGTATTAAGTTTAAAAACATAGTCATTTTTTAAAAACATAAAATAATTCTTTGGGAAGCTAATTTTTAGACTTGGGACATTTTATATGCATCATCATACTGCATTTACTTTGTACTTACACAAAAAAAATTTTTTCACACTGAGTACCAAACACCCTGTATATGCAACAAACCAATCCGTTTTCTGATAGAATTGTAACGAACCTAAATGGTAAGGGGGTTTATTTCAGAAGGTATTGTAACCAGGTTAAAATACTAAAGAAGACCCCAGTTTACCTGTTGTTGGTATGAATAATTTTATTAGTTGATCAAAACAGACGATTACCACAGAACGGCCTTTAAAAGTTAAACAGCCTAAGTTAAACAGTTGTTGGCTGTTGAGTGTTGATCCCTAGGCCTAGTCACGGCACTAATCAGCACAGGATAACCTCTCTGAAGTCTAAACCACAGACGACGTCATTGCAGAAGCCAATTTGCGGACATGCTCCGGGAGAAGAAGGAGGACTGATTATACTTTATTCCCCTTTTTGTCCTGAATAAGCGTCTCGTGCTGACCTGGTCACGAGTCTCAACCTATTTTTTTATTCTTCGTAACTCGCTGACGAATCAGCGGGTGACCTGGTCTTCTCGACAATCGTAAAGTTGGCGAAGAGGCTGTTTATTCATTTTCAGCCCGGCCATTTGTTTCGATGTTACTTGTGTCAAGTTCGTCGTACTACGTCTTGATAAATTCGCGTTCGTAAGCTGAAGTTCTTAAAGTTGAATTTGAAGCGTTTACCTTCACAGTTTTATGGTGGAACGTGTTCGGTTATTTATTTCGTCGTTTGGTGAGTTGTGTAACAACATTTTTGTTAAATTTTAATATTTCTCTACCAGTTTTAGTGAGCAAAACTTTGTAGCAATATGAAGGCTGGGCCTGGCCCTCAACCCTAGTCTTGCGTTATTTAAAAAAACAATTAAATGGGATATTGAAGTTGGTGTCTCCCGTTTTAAATTAACGTTATAAAATTTGTTTTGGGACTTGTGTTAATTTTTAAATCTTTTTAATTTAGAGACGTCCACAAGTTTGTCCCAGCAGACAGGTTTCTGCTTGCCTAGGTTGGCAAAAGTTTGCTTAAGTTGTCCAAGTAAGGAAGTGCAATATTTAGTTTTAATTTTACGTTGAAGCAGCAGTTTTATTTTTTCCTTTCCTTTTTTCTTTCAATGGCAACTTAAGCCAACTTTCTTGTTGTAAACTCAGACCCTGAGGGATCTAGGCTAGGCCTTTTTTTAGCCCTTGTTTGTTTTAGGCTCTCACGTGTAAACCTGTAGGTAAGCAGGGTGAACCTACTTAGTTTATTGCTCGTATAAACGTAGTTTAAGAGGTTATCACCTACAGAGTCGCGTCAAAATTATCGGTCCCCCACAAACTTCTCTGACTAGAGCGGTGACTATAAGTGTGACTATCTGTTCGGGGCTGTGATTAACCGAGACTATCAATACTGAGGCTATCCTAATCACTATCGACTCCTGGAAAACCCCAGCAACCGTGCAATCGCGCGATTCCTGGGATTTCGTTGATTTGTTAAGGTGGCGGAATTTTCTGTGTTACCATACGAGTTTTTGCCGGCAGGAAATTTTCCTTACAGAATATTTGATCCAGATTCTTAAAAAGCCTTTATTTCTTAAAAATGTAGAAAAATTTAACAGCGGCTTTTGCCAGAAGTAGGAAAGAGATATCACTGTCCAAATTGCGTATTTTTTAGCGCGAGTTGTGTGCATAATAACGTCTTAAAATTGTTAACACTGACTTCCAAACACCCTGTATATTACAAAAATAATACCAACATAATAATATTTTATAGATTTTATACACACTAATTATGATTATACCTTGAATAAAATGTAATATCCTGCAAAATAAAACCGAGCTGATTAGAAATAAAATTTTTAATAATATGTCTCATTATTCTCTAAAGGGTAGTCAGTAAACTAATATTTTCACCCCCTACAGTTTAAATCTTTTTAGATAAGATTGATCATGACTTATTAAAGATATAGGTCCTATACTAATTTTTAAACACAGGCAACACATAAGAACGACCTAAAGCGTATCTGAAACAAAAAAAGGCAACATTTAGCAGGTGATGAACTAAACGCTCATTTAAAAGAATAATTTGCATTCTGGCAAATTATGCTAATGTTGGTGTAACTAGTGGGCAAAGGCAGTTTGCACTCGTGTTACATATAAATATTGTTCCTGCAGTTACTATGAATCATATAACGCTGATCGTGGTCGTAATATCTTTAAGTGTTGCCAACTTATTTTCAAGCGTACATGGATTACGTGCATAATAAAAGCACGCAGATTCTGTTGTTTTGTAAAAATACTGGTGTGCGCCAAAGTAAAAAACTGTGCGCCAAAGTAAAAACTGTGAGCCAAAGTAAAAACTGTGCACCCAAAGTAAGGCTTTCTGTACTATAATTTGTGCAAGGGAGCTTAATCTGTCGGGTGACTGTAGGAAAACTAATTTTAAACTTTCTTTTAGGTACAATCACACAAGATCCTAAAACAGAGCTGTTTCAGTATAAAGCTAATTCTGGTGATATCTACAGTATTGACGTAGGTAAAGATGCGCAAATAAAGGTCGTGGGAAAGCAGATAATTAACGGCTTTGAATGGAGTTTGGACAAGACAAAGTTATACTATATAGATTCACACTATTCTGACAAGTATATTGTGTACCAGAGGGACTTCACAACGGACCCAGGTATGTAAATTATGTCTACTTGGCGTGGAAAACATAGTTTGTTAGCTGCATGGAAGTTAAAACACATTGAAACACTAACTTTCTCTCACAGCAAGGTTAAATAGATTGTATTTGACTTTGTTTAGCAAAATAAAAAAACATTAACTTATTTATTGTTAGTGGCTTAGTAGCATGTTCACAGTATATGTATATCTGTCCATACTTTACTTTGAAACGTCCATTAAAGTTCATTAATGTCAATATTCAAGGTGTTATAGGATCTAGTTTTTTTATTTAAAATTTTTACAATACGCTGAAAAAGTTTAATGTTTTTCCTAAGACAGTTTTTATTTACAAGCTGAATTTTTCTCATTTTGTAAGGGTAAATGGTACATACTAAGTTCTGAATTTACTGGTTAAGATCGGCGAACAAAAATATCTGCACCACCTTAAGTACAAACCTAGAGAAATCGCTACAACCGGTACCTGCTACCTCAACTTTAACTCATTTAATCCCCATCTTTGTAGGAATTATTTCGGTTGACAGGCATTTTCATACGCTTCATTGCTCTTTACAATATCTAGAGATACATTGTTGAAGCCGTAAACGATCAACTAACCTACCAGTTAACCCACCCTTAGGGACCCAGTTCAGTGCTGGTAGCAAAAGCGCAATTAACCTACCCCGTCTGTCACATTAATTGTAGATTACTAAGAAATACCTAATTACCCACATTAAACTGTCGCCCACCAGAGTAGTAGCCCCTAAGCTGTTTTGCCACACCAGCTGATTTGACCGTTAAGCGGAAATGACGTGTAAAGCCGGAAATGACGGGGGATTTGACAGTTAGGTACGATAGGGGTGGAAATTTCGTGTTTTATAGCGGATTTGAGCTGACGTCATAATTAGGATGATCATATGATTTTCAAGGTCATTTGTTTGTGTTTTAAAAAAAGGAAGCTAGCCTACAGTTGTAGTGTAGGATAGCTTCCTTGTTTTGTTTATTGTTTATTTGTATAAAACATGAGGGATGACAATAACTTACATACTATTACAATAAATAAGGAAAACATGTGCGAACGTACGTATCTAGAGTGAGCGTTTGCTAAAGTGTAAAACGAATGAGTTTATTGGTGGCCTTTATAAAGGCCGTTTTGTGTAGTTCGGCGACGCTTGTGTACTTGGATGTTTACTTCTTCAACTCCTCTATTGTATTATGGAGCTCTTTCCATCTTGCCATGTCTGCATTGTGCTCGGCCCATTCGATGTTGTCTCGAGGCTGAGCGCACCAAACACGATCAAATTTGCGTCGAATCTCTTTCTCCTCCTCTAGCAGTTGAAGTAGTTTTTTTTCCTTTCGTTTTCGCTCCTGCTCTTCTGCTTCGATGCATGCTTGGTGTAGGTCAGAGTCTTCAATATCACTTGTCCACTGTTGTTGTTGTTGTTGTTGTTGTTGTAGGTTGGCCATCTTGTGCAAAGTAAACGAGAAAGGTTGAGTTGACTGGTGAAGAGCTGGATGCGAAGTGACTGTTGCGTGTAAAGAAGTGCAGGTCCCTGACGAAGTGGGCGGAGCTAAAGCAGTAGAGGTGGGGGAAAGTAGTAGAGGTGGGGGAGAGCATCATGAGGGCATCATTCCATCCGTTTTAAAAGTATTTTGATTCTACGTCCCTTGTCTTGTGAGTGATGTTTCCGTTTTTCTTGATACGTTTTACAATTACATTGACAATAGGAGAACGATTCACATTTTTTACAAGCCATTCCATCTACTTGACATTCAGGTGTTTTGAAACACTTTAGATTACAACAATAGTATTTTAAATCGTATTCCGATTTGGGATCAAAAGATGAATTGGAATTACACTGTGACATGTTGCTCGACTGAATTCTAAAACAAGAATGAAAAGCAATGTGTTGTGAGCTGCTATTTATAGTGCAAGAGTCAGCAGCTCTCATGCATCTGTCACAAGTTAGTCTACATTTTTCCATAGTAGGTTAACCATTTGTGTTAGATCGTGTATGTAATTTTGATGCTTGTCTTGATATGTTTTACACCTACATTTGCAATAGCCAACAGACTCACATTTTTTACAAGCTTTTCCATCAACTTTACTTTCAGGCTTTCTAAAACATTTTAAAGTACAACAATAGTTATCCAAATCGTATTTGGATTTGTAAACAAAAGGTGACATGATGCTCGGTGAATTGTTAAAACAAGACTGAGAGCAACTGCGTGTAAGACCTGTTATTTATAGTAAAAAAGTTCAAGGTCATTTGTTTGAATTTTAAAAAAAGAAACAACATATCAGCATATAGAATTAATTATATGCTGATATGTTGTTTCCTCTTTTAATTTTTTTATTTATTTTTTTAATGACAAAAACATTTAACAAAAATATGTACATAGATGGTTATTTACAGAAAAAAACTTAAAACTAACATTGATGGGTGATGTGTAGAGATAGTTCAGTGGAATTGTTTCCGCAAACTCCGTGTGATACCAAATAGAGGGATCCTGGTTGAATACCTCGCAGGTCTTCGTTTTGTAGTTGCTGTACAAATCGTCTTGGAAGATAAACTTGAAATTTCGGTTCATCACCTGGTGAAAACGGTGCCTCGCTCAGTGATGCTAAAATTGCGTCTCCATGTGAAGTTTCTGTCTTCTTCAGCTCGTGAACGATGTAGTGTTTGTGTTCCTTCAATTCGTGACATTTCTTAGTACTTAGAATGCTGGATTTGGACTGGGTGTTGAACTGATCCACCAAAGACTGGAGAAACTGTTGTGAAGCCATTTTCTTGATTAGGACTACCCTGTGAGATGTTGCCTCTGCGATGTCTGGAGTAATACTGATGAGGATCCTGAGACTGTCCACTGTATTTATAGCACACGTTCCCCCCTCCACTGCTATTTCCTTCGTAATACTTCCACTGTTGCTGTTTGAATTTATTTCTGTCCCAATAGTGAAGAACTAGAAAATTAGCTAATCGGTATGCGTTTTGTAGTGCACATTGTGTTACTGTGCGATAAGAGTGATCTGTTAAAGTACAAATAGGTCCATAATTAATTTGATGATCCTTGTCCATTCTTATGTCGAAAACATCGTGATATGTGTATTGTTGTATCCATTGTCTTTTTTCCGATCCTCTTGTATAAATATGGGAAAACTTGTTAGAAAAATGATACATGATATTGTTTAAGTGCTTATAGCTTATCAATCCTTCGTTCCACTGAATATGGTGAAAATGTTTGGTTATCCATTTGTTTGTTCTTCTTGCTTTGTCATTCAATTGGTTTACTGAAAATGGAGCTTCAAATATAAACGGGTATACGACATGTGTAATCAAATCTAAAATCACTAATTCTTTTATCACAAATTCATCTTTGTTATCACGAAATGCTTGAAATTCTATTACACAGGGTTTTATATCCATAATGTTTAACCCTATCTACACACCACCACGTATAGTGTTCAACTGAATTCACACCGCGCCTTGGTCACTCTTTTATACTGTTTTTCTTTAATTACACTTCTTGGGTTGCTGGTTCTTCTTGGTTTATAGTTTCATATTCTTCAACAGCTTCTATCGCTTCTATCGCTTCTTCATCAATTGATTCGAAGTTCCTTAACTGTCTCCACATACCAACTTCATGAGGCAATCTATTAAAAATAGATGTATCCACGTGTCCGTATAATATGGTGCTTTCCGGTTGTTTTTCCAGTGTATCAATTAAATACTCTTTGATGATTGAACTTGAGAATACAAGTTGTTTCATATATCTAGAGATAGGAGACGTTGCATGCATTAAAATGTAGAATTCTTCACGTGAGAGTAAAATTTTACTTTCATGTTGAGTTAAATCTCTAAATCGTACTTGTAGTGTTCCACGATTCTTTACTATGTCAATTTCATTGTCAGAATCCAAAAGTCGAATATTAGTTTTCCTTCCGCAAACATTAGTATTTAAGTAACATTCAATTAGATTTAAATGTTTTAGAAAAGATTCCCATGCCGTTTCAGAAAATATAACCATTTTTGTACCATGCTGCAAGATTACTGTAGGTGTATATTCCGAAGATTTCATTAGTCCAGCTGTTACACTTTTACCCAAACATAGTGAGATAGGATAGTAAATGCGTAGGAAAACTTCTTTCAAAATATTAATTGGGATTGTATCTTCATCTTTCCGCTTCCTTTTAGTGCCATTTTTTTTAGTTTTTTCTTCTTTTTCTTCCTTGTCCTCCTTGTCTTCTTGTTTTCGAAACTTTAAAAACTCTTCTATTTCATTGACGATTTCTTGATGGTTTTCTTGATCCAATAATGCTGCTTCCTCTGCATCCTTTTGTACGACTGATGGAGAACTCATTTTACTCATGATGTAGTGTAGGATGTTACCCATTCAACGAACGAGCAAAGACTGATTGGTGGTGTGCGAAGCTCCTCCTTTTATAGCCGACTGGTGGTTGTGGTGAAACTCATTTACAACACTGTTTTGACTAATCCCGTCAATGGTGTGTACGTTACAATTTTATCATGCAAAATTAAACAATATGCAGATGTTGCATCAGGAACGTTCTCTTCAAACTCCATTTCTATTTTTATATCCACACTTGATGACTTTACAGATTCGTTTTGTTTTGAACAATCTATTACAATTATTGGAGCTTTTGATTCGTACTGCTCGGGAGACAGTATCGGGGTGTTTGTTTTCCCGTAGTATGAACTTTGGAATCTAGCGTACATATCATACAAAACAGTGTACCTCTTCTTAGTGAAAGAAATATTAAAGTTGTCGTAAGGGAAAAATTGTGAATTAAGAAACACTTTACAATTTGTTAGTTTGCAATGATCGAAATGACCGGCATTAGCTAGTATATTATTCCTTTTTTTTGTTTGTAGTGCAAATATTACATATCTTGCTTTTTCCAAATGAGTAGATGTTTTTACAGTCCATGTATGTCTTTGTGTTTTAGGTAAAACTGGATATTCATGAAATTCCCAACTTCTGAATGGTATTACAATA